GTGGGGGGCGGGGGTCACCACAAGCCCATTCACCGGCTCCCTCTTGGTAGTCGCTCCAGCTCCCCTTCCTTCCTCCTTTCCGTCTTTCCTCCCTCCTAATTTGCTACTGGCGGCGGCGGCAGCTGCTCCTCTGACGGCGGGGGAGGGACCCCGGGGGCAGCTCAGAGCGCGGCTGGTGCTCGGGTGGCGGAGGGAGAAAGAAGAGAAGGGAGGCTGTGAGTTAACGGCGGCTCGCAGGGAGGGAGAGAGGGGGAGGGAGGAAGGCGGAGGGATATTCGGGCCGGACCTCTCCGCGGCGGCACCGCGCTACATGTCGATTGGCTGCCGCTGTGGCCACGCGGAATCCCCAATTGGCCAGGCGGTTAGCGTTGAAGGGCCGCCCTGCGCCCATTCGCTCGCTGGTTTCAAGGTCCGGGGTTGGCTGGGCGGGCAGCGGGATGGGGGCGCTGATTGGCCGAGGGGCGGGAGATTGGGGGGGGTGAGGCCGGCCAGAGCCGGCCGCTGATTGGATTGGCCTGGTAAAGGCCGTGAGCTGAGGCCGTCTGAGCGCTGGGAGGAGGGTGGACAGAAGGTAAGACTCCGGACCCGCTTGATTGGCTGGGATTCTAGACGTTGATAGGATAGGGCACCCTAAAAAACTGGGGAGAGGAGTTTGGGGTCGGGGCCTCGGAAAGGCGGGAGGTGCCCCAACGCTTTAGAAGCCCGGCGCAGTGCACGACGGGACGCCCCCGGGAAGGGGCGGAGCCGTGTCCGGCCTGCGGTTGGGAAAGCGCAGTCACTCCGAGGGGCGTGTTGAAGAGGGTTTCGCGGGCTCGAGCGGGGGAGGGGGGGACCGTTAAAACCCTGCCCCGCGCCTACAGGAAGCTGCTCTAATGGCTAGGCCTACTTGGTACCAGGTTTTCGGCTGGGAAGGACCTTGAAGACCATGCGGTTCAACTTCCAATTTGTGGATGTGGAAACTGAAGCCGAGAGAGGGTATGCACCTTGTCCAAGGTTACCCAGCCGGTAGTGGCCTTACTGGGACTGGACTCAAGCGCTCCTGACTGCTCTTGGCCTTACACGCATCTCCTCCAAGGAGGTGAATGCTAATGCAGTTACTTTAGACCTATTTATAATTTGAGGCCTGTGCTGTTATAAAGTCTAACTTATGTGGTTTGGACAGTTGGATTCCTCTTACACTCCCATTCATAGCTATTAGGTACTTGAAAGAATAGAAATGTTTCATCTTGCGAACGTGGCCCTTTTATAAAGGCGCAACCGTGAACCAGAAAGAATGTGTGTACAGGCATAAAGGATCGTGGTTCTTAGCCTTTTTAGTTGTAAGCCCTCAAAGAAACGAATGAAAGCTTTTCTTAGCAAAATGAACATAAAGAAAATGTGCGTACAGTTTCTTGACTTACCCTTACATTGGTACAGGGGCTCCAGGTGAAGAATTTCCAGAATTGCTACATTTGCACCATATTGATCTAGGGTTAATTGGATGCAGCTAGCTTATAGAGCTCTTTGCCATATAGCTTCAGCTTGTGGAAAAATTGCCCTACTCTAGCCATACTGGGAAAACCTAAGAGCAACTCTGTCCTTGTTGAGACGTTCCAACCAAGAGGAAATTTCCTGGTGGTCTGGTGGTTAGGATTCCGCACTTGGACTGCCGTGGCCTGGGTTCAACCCCTGGCTGGGGAACTGATATTCCACAAGCCACGCAGCGCACACACAAAAAGAGAATTAGGAAAGGTTGGCCAGCTACCTTTATTCCTTAAAGGAAGACGAGATCTTTCTGTGCCAGAAATATCTGGAGTTCTAAAGCTGGAAGTGTGGGGACACCGTTCCTTACCCATCCTGTGACTAGTTGATTTCCTGTGGCTTAGCAGTCCTTTTAATCTCAGCCTTTTGCTTCATCTATCAGCTGATGAAGAACTGCCCTGTGTGTGTAACTTTATTAGGAATCAATGAAGATTGAGATGACGTCCATCAAAATCTTTGTATTTATGAGTATTACCCATACTACAAATGATCCACAGTTCTGTTTCACTCCAAGCCAAGTTTCTCCTGTCCTCTTATCAGTTTGCTGAGACACCTCCTCTGCTCAACATCAGTCATGATACTACCAGTGAGGGGAAATGGATTTTTAAAGTAGCTGGAATAAAATGCTGGGAAGATAAATGTTTTGCAGCAAAGTTCCAGTCAAACAAGGTCCTTACCACAGCCAGCTGAAATGATTTTTTAGTTGAGCTAAGATAGGTGCTTTGTAGTCCCTATCAAAAACAGCCAACACTGTCATGCATTCAGTAGATGCTACTGGGTGCTTAGCACTCAGATTCCAGAAACTGACTGCCTGAGTTCATAACCCAACTCTGTCACTTCTAAGCTTGTGTGATTTTCTTTGCTTTATGTAAAGTGGGGCTAATAATTGTACCTGCCTCATACCCAACTTTTAGGAGGTCTTAGTGAGTTGATACATGTTAAGAGCTAGTAACACTGCCTGGCATCTTGTATATGTTGTATATACATTGGCTATTATCTATTTAGCATGTATTTTGTACGAAGTGAGTGGTTCTTGGCCCTTGGCCTATTAGGGAAGAAAGACTTTAATCAATTAATCTCACAAACAGATGTAAAGTTGTAAAAGTGAGAGCTACCAAAGAATGACCCAACCAGGAGGCTCAGGGAAAGCGTACTTGAGAAAGGAAGAGTTAATTCATGTGGAGAAGGGAAGAACAAACATGTGCAAAGGCCCTGTGGTGGGAGGGAGCTCAGGGATTTTAAGAAACTGCAAGAAGGCCGGCACACCCAAAATACAGGGAACAAGGGATTGAGACAAAGCTAGAGTGTTGAGTAAGGGAAAGACCATGTGAGAGCCTCACATGCCAATGCTTTTGTCTATATCCTAAGACCAGAGGGCAGCTACTCAAAGGTTTTAAAAAGGTCTTTGGTTGCAATGTGAAGATTAAGACTGGAAAGAGGAGCAGATGCAAGGAAACCAGTTAGGAGGCCATTGCAGTAATCCAGATATGAGCTGATACTTGTAGAAAGGAGAAAGGTAGAAGGAATAGTGGAAATAGAGATAGGTATTGAACTTGGTAATTGATTGGAAGGAGAGGGAGGTGTCACTGGTGCCTGCTAGATTTCCGGATGGTGATGCCATTTGCAGTGTTTCCCAAGTAGGAGGAATTGGAGGCCATGTGGTTTAGTGAATGTGGAGAGGTACACAGGGGCTTCAGGTTGTATTTCTTGAGCTGTGTATGGAGTCCATGGGTTTTAATATGCTATTCTCTATAACAGGAATATTCATGTCCAATGAACAAATTCTGAAATTAAAGAGAGAAAGTGGATTTCAGTCTTACTCTGCCACTTCCTGCTGTCTGATCCTGAGCAAGTTACTTAACGTCTTATTCTTGTGAAATGGGAGAATCTCTGCCATACCATTGGGTGATCTGAGCATGAATGGGAGTTGGGAAAGTGCTCGGTGCAAATGTCTTATGACGGGAGATGTTCACCAGTATGTTAAACAATGAATTGGTGAATGGATGAGATCAGATGGCATTCTCCAGCTCAGTCCCCCCAACTAACCCATGGTGCTTATGTGTGAGGAGACTGGCTGCGAGGGGAGAAGCAGTCATGCTATGACCTGATGCCTTTTCCTCCTGAGCAAAGCTCGCTGACCTCAGAGGGGTACATGCAACTCGTCCTTACGGCCCGTGAGAAGTGATGGTCTAGCTTTGTAAAAGGCACTTTAAAACTTAACTTCACTGTCTTTTCCAGTGTTATCCACACTAGCGCCCATGTGTACCATTGGTCCAATCAAGCCGGTCATATAATTTCATCCTGCATAAGTGCTCAGCACTATCCTAGGCCTGTCCCCTGCCTAGGTTCCCTCCTCATCTCCCAGTCTTCAGGTCATGCACAAGTTTGTTTCTTTGTTCATTCATTCAACTACAT